ATGATATTGAAAGAGTTTATGTTTTCTTTCACTACAGCAGACGAATACACTTTATCATGGTTTAAAATTTTTGAGAATATTAAATCTTATAACAATTTCATTAATTATATATATATATATATAAGGTATAAAAAATTTAAATTGATATAAAATTTTGTAAATATGATTTATGTGATTAAATTTTATGATATTATATATTGTTGTTGGTATTGTTTTCCTTTTCAAAAAAATTATAATATTAAACTTTATGCCGACACCTATAATTTTTTACTTTCAGTCAATCCATATTTATATTGAGATATAGATGTGAATTTCTACATTCAACTTCATTACATTCTTGTCAAAACCGTACCCAGTAAGAGGTAAATGTTGTTTTTCTACGGCATTACGGTCGCTTATTTAATAATAGAAAGCAAAATTCATATGAAACGCCGTCATACGATTTTGTTCTTTGGCGTTGAATGGTTCGTTCCATATTCCAAAAAGAAAACAACCATTTCAAAAATTTCCAAGTTCTTGCCTTTTATGTGAATCACGTCTTTGAATGAAGGTTAAAGTTAGAAGAAGGTTTGAAACCGAGGATGGGGTTAATTGGTCTCTCTCTCCCTATTTAAGGATTTACTTTAAGATAACTTTATATGTATACATATATTGTTGCATATATATGCGGCAATAATATGAAACAAATAAAGAAAAGCAAAAGTTAGTATCATTAATGTACGCCATAGTTGCAGTTTCTCTTCTACGCATGGACTATATAGCATGCAATTTTTGAATAGATTACATCTAATTACATGTCCCTGTATTGGACTAACATCATATTGGAACGATGGATCCTCGTTTTGACCAGTACCCCGTAGGGATATTTATGATATAAGCTTGAGTTTTCAACACGCAAATAATGACAATGTTCAATTTGTGATGTGGCCGAATGGACATTTTTCAGTGCAAATTAATAAAAAAAAAAAAAGGTTTTAAAAGGGGTTGAAGAAATTAAATTGGTGTAGAGTAGCCAGGATGAATATAGAGTTGGATGAATCAGAATCTGTGTTGATAGGATGAGATCAATGCTATTTGGTCAATAGATACCAATAGGCAATGATGGTGACGATTCTTAGGATTAGGTTTCTTTCCTACATTAACAACCACCAAGATTTATCACACTAATTTGGAATAAACTAAAACATGTGGGTCCTTAAGGTTGACAACTATATATATTGGTGATGTGATATATGCACCACCTAATAAGTAACCGGTAAAGTTGACCTAGGAAGTATATAAGGATAGATACTTCAAAATGAAGAGCATATATACTCATCAATCGTAATGTAACCATTTTTGGTATAATACTAGTTTATTTTGAACTCCTTGTTTTGATCAAATTCCTTCATGGTGGTATTGCTCCTTTCCAATAGTCGTGGCCAACGTATTGTGATGGTTACACGTAGAAGGTATTTCAATGCTCAAATTAGATGATATTCTGATTAAGTAACAAAAAGAAATAAAATCATACATAACCCAATTGCATCACAATCATGCAAGTGATATAGACATTGAATTAGCCTTCATCGTTATACAACAATAGGATAAAACATTATATTATTAATAGACTCATGTTTCTACGAATAAAATAATTCTTTAAAATAAAATTTATGTAAATGAAAGCAAATTTAACACCTTTTTCCGTTTGTAAATGAGAATTCTTAAGTAATATTTCATATATATGCACACTTTATAATCCTGGATTTTATTGAAAGAGCAATGATATATGTATGAAAATGCCTTTGTATCATTCTTATAATATTTTTAAAAATAAAAAGGAACATATTCTTATAGTTTTTTAATTTTTCAAAAGCAAATTAAGCTTATTTGAAGAAAATAAAATAATGAGAAACATCCATTTAATTAATTAACAGTGTAAGAAATAACTATAATCCATGCACTTTCAAGCCCCCTTGTTAATAAGTTTCACCCTTTCAGACACATTAATGGGTTATTACACTAATTTGAAAAATTAACATATATCACGTGCCCTCCAGAATGCAACTCCAGGATAGTAGTTAGACTTTTTTCACTCTGACACTTTCAAGCAGAAAATCACATTTATCCAACAAACGCTTATTTCTACAATTCTGACCAAATAAAGGCATAATGTTGGGTTATTATGTTTTGAAGATGAATTTAATCTATACATGAGATTATATTTTTATGTTATTATACTCTTGAGAGAGTTTGACTTTCATTGAAGCTTTAAATGGACAGCATTTTAGAAATTTTCTTTTGATCAAAATTACTATATTTTGGGTGGAGACAGAATAAGATTTTGTGGTGTCCTTAGAGAAAGAAATTGCTATACACTCTACTTTGACTTTGAGTTAAGGTAGAAGAAAATATTTGTCAAAATACTTATAAATAGAAACTCAATGTGAAATGAAGCAAGTTTAAGCAATTGCTTGAGAATTGAAAATATGTGTTGTCACTAAATTGGGATACATCTACTATATGCATCTCTTTTCTCTCCATCCTCTATTATTTTATTATGTTCATATTGTTATTATTTTATTTATTTTAATTTTATATTTTCCTGCTATTTAACTCAGAATCAATTTACACCCCCCCCCCTCTTAGTTCTTTTGATTGTTCGATTTGTTATGTTTAGACTATGAGTGTGCAATTGAAGCACATGTGATATGTAAATGTGATTATTTGTTTGATGCTAAAAATATATGCAATTATTTTTTTATAAATCAATTGATTGACTTAATGGATGTAATTATCCTTTAAGGATAATTTGATTTAAATTTCTATATCTATTTTGGTAAGATTTGATCATAGTGTTGGATAGTGATTAGAATGGTTTGATAGTAATTGTTATTCTAATTATATCACTGGTTAGAATGTTGATTAGTGTTGAATATATCATAAATATACAATCAATGAGAATGAGCAACCATAATAGTAGTTACTAGGTAAAATAGTAACTATACAAATAATAAAATTAACTAAATAATTTAGGTCTATATTAGGAGAAATAGTAACAACTACATGTTGATTAGAGTTGTGTTTGGAGAAAGAAACCAATGTATACTTTATTGTAGGTCTATAAAAAGGTTTTTGTAATGTTCTTGGAGAAAGAAATCACCACTCTTCTTTATGTTAAGATAGAGAAAGGTTTATAGGAGTGTTTGTGAGCAAAAAAATTGACATAAAGTGAAAAGAAAAAAAAAAAACCCTCAAACAATTACATGAGTATTATTAGACATAGATTATGAATTGCAATTGAACTAGCCTATACATATTTCTTCTCACTCTATCCTCTATTATTTTATTATATTCATATTCATAATCGTGTTTATTATTATTATTATTATTATTATTATTATTATTATTATTTACTTAAATTTTATCATTTAGTTATTAAACTCAAATGAAGAACTAATTTTTTTACCTTAGTTATTTCAACAGCATACAATGCTCCATATTCCACTTTCCTTTTGTCTTCATAGATCTTCACTTTGCTAAATCAGTTCCTCAAAATTATACGGAATAACACTAGGAAAAAAAAACCCACCAATTTATATACTCAGTACCATATTTTCTTTTTCATTATTTAAAAGTAAAAGGATCACTATCCATTTTTTACTCTTTGTTTTACTTTGACATTTCTAAAATATAGTTAAGTGATATGTTTTTCCTTTTTATATAATTTTAAATAATTTTACATTTCATATTTAAACACACACAATAAAAATTAATAAATTATAATTTTTATAAAAAATTATAATATTTAATGTTATTAATGTGTTAAATTGTGTGATCTTTACTAAATAAATTATCATACCAAAACTTTTCTGGTGTACCTACATATTGATTATTTTCAAATGATCAAGAGAAAGTTAAATATACACTTTATTGTTTTTTTTATTATTAAAAAGAAGAACACATAAATTCTTTTAGATTTTCTTTTGATTTGAACATTCTTCAAAATAATGAAAAAATAATACTAATTATTATATCATGATCTTATATCTTTTTAATTTATACTTTAAGTAATTTTGACACAATTAAGTATTTACACCTTGCAATTATTTAGTGTTATTTGTATGGTCTCCGGTCCTTATCTGGGTCTGTCTACCTTTGTAATCATTAATTCTTATAATCATTAAATTCCTTTGACTCAAAGAAATCACCACCCCTCATAAATAATATAAAATTGCAATATTTCTTCGTAATAATAAAGACATTGAAAATGAATAAATCTAACTCTAGGGGTGCCACTAACGGCAATAGCCACTTGGATGGTGTCGAAAATAGAGCAACAATGTCAATATCACAGAATCAGTAGCCTCATCCATGGGAAACTAAGACTAACAATAGGGAGGGTAGTTTACACAGTGCTATTGCTGTATTCGCACCGAATGTTCTACGTCATTTCATGTTAGATCTTGACACAACGTGACAAGACAACCGACGAAAATTTTTCTGTTTCGCTTCATGTTTAACTCATCGATCCCTACCTACCTTACTCATTTTGGTTATGCAGATCGTCAAATTTAAAATCTTGTATTAGAAATTTGCTAGATTTTGATTTCATTTATCAGACAACCCATGTGTGTGAAATAAACAAAGTCCAAAAGATCATAGCCAGGTATAACGTATTCATTCTCTTAATAATACATCTTCACGGAATCATACATCAATTATCTAAGAACTAAAAAAATACTTCTTAGATCATGCAAATATTTATAAATAATTGAAGGAGCAACTTAATTAAGTATTTATTTAATATTATATATATATAATATAAATTTTATCATGTAACTTATTAAAAAATTGAAAAATAATTATTTTGATAAGCTAATGATCAAGAAATGTATTAAAATAAGTTAAAAAAAAACTTTATAAGAAATTTTGTTGAGTCTTCATAAATTCATTCTTCAGGTCGAAATAAGTACTAAATCAAAGTTCTTAATTAGGAAAGAAGGCACATAAAACTAGGTTTAAAGGGGGTGAACTATGAGAGGAAGTCCATAAGTGGGTCTAAGGGAGAGCATGATAGAAGGTGAATGGTTATAACCTGGGGAAAGTTTAAAACTAAATCTAGAGAGGAGTAAGGTTAAGACTATCTTATACTCCATAAAGCTCAAGTTCCTACCAACACACATCCTACCCCCAAATCCAAATGGCAAGTACCCCATCTTGTGGTCACATCCACCATTGACATCATTCATGAACCTCTCTGGCTTAAACTCGTTAGCATCTTCTCCCCACAATGTCGTGTCATGGTGCATCGCCACAACATCGATCCACATGTTGGTCCCATTAGGTACTGTTAAATTATCAACTTGAATGTCTTCTCTAGCTTGCCTTTGCACATTTGGTGCCGTTGGGTAGAGTCTCAGAACTTCATTCATCACCCACTTCATCTGCATGGTCAACGCATACCCATTTAAGTTATCTCAATTAATATAAGGACGCAAATCATGCATAATTCATTTTGACTATAAAAGTACTTAATTTATTAGCAAAATCACTATTCAAATTATTTCCTTGATTTTTCAATTCAATTATGGTCAAGTTCATATCTTCGCATGTTTCTCTTTTGTGATTTTCTCGTGTTTATATTTAGTCGGCTAGCAAAAATTTGATTAGACCTGGTTTTGGCGATACAATACAAATAAAAGGAATTAAAAAATGACAAAGATCCGAAGTCAATCCAGTGACCAAGTGCCATGTGTTAAAGTGGTATTTTATTTCATGCTACATACTCATAGGTACAGATATAAAGTAGTGTGCTTACAGTGTTGCATAGCAACACGACGCTGATGATGTTGCAAGCTTCACACAAATTTTATCTTCAATTTGTTTTGTGTGGGCCATCAAAATTTTCATTCAATATTTTAATTATCTGTTCGTCATGAACTGCCAGACCATTATACCCCACATCAGAATCTCACATATGAACGTTGACGAAGTAATTAATATGGTTCAACTAGCGACAAGACACGTCCTAAATGCAGCCCTAAACCACAATCTCAAATTCTGTTTTTTTTTTTAATCCCTAATTTCAATCCAAACTCTCCATTCCATAATTTGAACTCTAAAGTCGAAGCTGTAGAGGAGTTCTGGAATGTTAAACTTATGGTGTCTAACATATATGGTCAATAACAGTATGGTCAAGGTGAGAATCTGAATAAATTAAGTCAATTAAACCCTTTCTTTCATTCTAAGAACTTAATCACGGTCTAAATCAACCTATAAACCAATGGCACAAATGTAAAATTTCGGTGGTGGGAAGATCATATAAATTATAAAGTTGTACTGCCAACTTTAACAAAATACTTCGAAAACCAAAGCAAATTTAACCTAACAAGCAAAATACTTTGTAAATATTGACAGTAATACAAAAATTAAAATATGAAAGAAAATAAATTCATTTCTAAATTTTTAAATTTTTTCACTTTAAAATTACTGTCCAATCTTTTTCTTTCCTATAAATTCATCGGTAAAAGAATTCATCAATATATTTATATATAAATAGATCATTTATAAAATAAGTGATGAAAAACATTAGAAAAGGAAAGATCCATATATAACAAAATCTTTCTTTAAAAAATTTCTATAGTTTTGTGCTGGATTTATTGATAATAATAATAATAATTATTATTATTATTATTATTATTATTATTATTTACAAAACTATCTCTCTAAATATTAGTTCTTGTTTTTTTCGATAAAATTAATAACAAAATATTTTAGAGAAAAAAAATCATCTCAAATTCTCTCTTTTTAACAATCCCAAAAATTTTTAAATCATAATTTTTAAAATAAATTTCTCTAAATATATTACTGTTAAAGAGTGATTTAATCTCGTCTCTAAATTTAATTTTTTTCATAGTAGTGTAATATAATATGTGCATGATCTATGCATAGGAGTGAATGAGAGTATGTATATGTTACCTTTCTCAGCCCAGCAAGCACGTTGTTATCAAGTTCTTTATCACCGACCACTTCTCTAATTTCATTTCTTAACTGGATTTGCCAATCTTCATGCATAGCTAGAAGGAACAAAGTCCATGAAATAGCCAAAGCCGTAGTCTCATGGCCAGCAAAGAAGAAGGTCTTGCATTCATCCAATAATTCTCTAGTAGTGAGTGTTTTCCCTGATTTTTCTTCAACTTGATGGTTTCCTTGCAACAACAATCCCAGTAAATCTTCTTGAGTTTGTCTTTTGATTGATGTTGTACGAGCTGTAATTACGGATAACAAGAGCTTATCAATCTCTTTCCCAAGTTTCTTTGCCTCTAGGGTTTTTTTCACGTTGAAACACTTGCCAAATGGAACCCCTACATATCTTGTTGTCTTAAAAAGTGTCATTTGTAGGGCACGTAGTTTTTCAGACACTTCCTTTGCATTTTCACCCTTCATGCCAAAGCTTGTTCTTGCTATGATTTCTCCTGCCGTTGCTACAACCTCTTTCTCCACATTAATTTCTGGGTTGCCGGAGTTAATTTGTGTAATCCACCTATCTATCATTTGATTTGTAGACTCAGCCATCATGCTTGCCATTGCCTATCATATTGCACAATAAACTTATACATGTCAGAAACGTAAATAAAAAAATTTACTCTTCCTCAATCATTGGTGACATATCATAATAGCCCTGTTTTTAAATTAAAAAAGTTAATCATTATTGAGTTTTTTAAATAAAAATATACAATTTAGGTTAATTTAGATACATATATCTAAATCAAATTTAATGATTTAAATTAATTCACCAAAATTAATTGTACATTATTTTAAAATTAAATGGACACAAGATCAACGAAAGAAATTTGTCCTTATAATTTTGAATTAACATCAAAGAAGAAAATTTTGTGATGAACTCTGAAATGGAGTTTGTTCGGTGGGCCATGGAGTCGTAGATTCTCAGAAAGTACTAGTACTAATTAGGTGGCTTATTTATTTAATTTTGTGTAGTTAAACAGAGAATTAGGTGTTATATTTCCATATTTGGTATGTCTAAAACATAAAGATCATATCAACACAACCTTTTCAAAATGTTTTAAAAATGGTATCCAAACTTTCAAGATTCACCATGATGCCGTGTAGACGATCTGTGCTAGGATGCCATCATGGTCATATTAATTATTGAAATTAAAGTCATCCAAAGATTGCAAGTTGAAATTAAACTTAATATGATGAAACCTTTTCTTTATGTCAGTTTACATGTCAAGCTAGAGAGAGAGAGAGGAAAACCTTCAAGTTAATTGGAGAAAATGCTGGGGCTATAACATGCCTATGACGAACCCATTCATTGCCTTCAACCATCACCAAACCATTTCCAAACATAGGGTCTCTGTCGTTTCTAAACACTCGCGGTTTTCCCCATCTCTTAGCCATCACCTCTGTGGACATTTTCTTCAAGAATTCTGGGTCTGCAATGTACAAAAAGGGTTCTGTGCCCAGCCAATAGATGAAAACCTTCCCTGCAAAAAAAATTATATATATAAGTAAACGTTAGCCTTAGTAGAGATTTGCATAAAGCTTTATTCATAATCTTAGTCAGTGTGTGTTATGACTTTTCCAAGTAAGAAGAACACAGATTAAAAGACTAACCTATTAGGTAAAAGAGTCACATAAGTACTGAATGAACATTTTATTATACTTGACGTGGGGTTCTTAATAAAAGTGCGATGTGTTAACCACAAATACTCCATCTTTTACTACATGGGTTCGCACTATGACCTATATAGTATGAATATAAGGGAAAGCTTACCGTGAGAAATTTGCCACCGAGAAAAATAGGGGAACACAGTGGAGTGTATATCGTGGGTAGGCTTTGAGGACCGATGTTGTGAAGAACTAACGCTATTCTTCTTTTTAATCTCTTGAATGTTTCCAAGTGGAAAACTTGGGGGTGGCCCTCCAAATCCACATCTTTTAAGCTTAAGATGTTTCCGGAGAGGTGAAACCCACCAAGAAAACATTAGTTTCAAGAGGAATAAGAGAGCTAATATAGCAAAGAAAACAAGTGCTCCAGGTAACAATAACATCTCCATCTCTCTCTCTCTCTCTAACACACACACACACACTTTAAGCTTTTGGTTATCTATGTTACGATTTCAGAATTTAAGCTGTTTATAAAAGCTAATAGCTCAAATTCTATGCGTTTGTTATGCAAGAGCAAAGTGCAAAATGGGGGTATTTATAGAGCGAGGCATGAGATAGCAAAAGCAGAGAATGCGTGGCTTTTGACCAATGAAGAAGACCAAAGCTATGTTTGAACATTTTCCAAGGATGCTCGGCTAGACCTTTTAGACTCATATTTGTGTTTCTCACCCTTTGCCCTCTTTTGGACGGATCTAAATTGGTCGGAATATTAAAACAAATAAAATAATCACATTTCCTTTCCTTAAATTAACCACTATTCTATTTCCAACTTTGTCCTTAGCTTATTTAAATCAATTTGATACTGGGTCTACAACTATACGGAAGTATAGAAAATTAATAAGTGATTAAATCAATGTTTGATTGTGCTTTGTGCTTTAGTTCTTTTGTTTTGAAAAATACAAAACAAATAAATACTATTTTTTGAAAGAAAAAATTTCTTAAAAGAAAATGTTTTTATCATTTAGAATAGCTGAAAAAATACATCATGAAACAATAATTTTTATTATTTTACTTTAAAAATTAAAAATTATTTTTTTAAAAAAAGTTGCCAAACAAATCATTTTTTAAATAATAGTATTTTTATTATATATATATATATATATATATATATATATAGAGAGAGAGAGAGAGAGAGAGAGAGAGGAGTGAGTATATTAAGAGTTTCGAGCTTGAGTTCTTAATTAAAGTATAATGAAGTTAAAAATTAGAAGGAAAAAAACATCGTTGCCTATAATAATTGTTTTCAATTCTAATTAAATTAGTTAATACGGTATTTGAATCATATATATAGAATTCAAACCATCAATACATCCCATATGTAATTTGAATTTTACTGGGAAATTAATTTCACTGTTTATATTGAATGCATAAAAAAATTGTGATGAGGATCTAGAAAAATTCAAAAGAAGAATTTGAAATTCAAGAACCATTGGAAGTATGTTACGCGCATGAAAATCGGAAAATTTCCGGTCCAAATTAAAATTAACTAATTTATATTTTTCAATTTGGTTTATATTTTTAAAATAATTACTAATTTTGATTTTATAAATTTTAGTTAATTAGAAAAGGATAACTTAAAGGAGTAGGGTATACTGCACAAATACAAATCTGCTCGCAACAATATTTAAATACGAACAAATTTTCGAGATTCTTTATTTAATGATTTTTATTTTTTAAAATATTAAAATAAAAACAACCATATACAACAACTATCTTACCCTAAAGAGGAAGAAGTGGTATTTTTTTTTTTAACATGCAAGTTACGTCATCAATAAATAATAATAAATATTTTTAACAATTTTAATTTAATATAAAAAAAATCAAAATGCATGGATCATATAAAGAGTGTACCTGTCCACAGTCCAAAAATTTAAGGTGGACAATCCGAGTGATTTGTTGATCACAAAGGCATGATTGGTTTGCATGTACGGTTCATTGAATTTCATCGAGCTCATATGGGTCCAGTACTGTGCAATTTGATGTGTCCAACGTTAATACCACATAAAGACCATATACATTAATAATCGATCCACAATATCTTCTTAAACTGAAAAATCAACTTGTCCCTACTCACAGATAAGACAGATAATAAAATAACATTAATATCACATTTTTTAAAAACATAGAATTTAGTTTACCTTGTTTCATGGTGAAGAATACGAATGGAAAAGATCTTATACTTCTGCAATTGACACCAAATTTAGTTTTGAAAAATTGTTGCTTATAATTATTATTGTGTTCAAATTGAAAACAAAAATATTATCAATATATCTGAAATAATTGATCATCATAAGGGTATTTTTTTAAAATTGAAAACAGTACATTCATCATAATAATGCAAAAGCATAATTATCGTACTTGTTCCTTATAGCTTTGCCTAGCTGTTAAACTCTACTCTCGTGGAACGAAAATGGCCTCTTGTTTTAAAGTGAGACATGCTTCTAACGATGCTTTATAAATGTTTCAATGGGAGTGTGAAATTATTATTATTATTATAACGTTGATGATGAATATGAAATTCATGGTTAACATAAAAATGCTTATACACGTTAATGAAATTAAAACGTAGGTGATCCGTGTATTACTGTGAACGTAAATAAGAGTGGTTTACTAGTAATAATATTATATATATAAATGGGGACCCATATATTGAAGCTCCACTATATTTTGCTTTAAAGGAAGAGAAGCATGAAGTCATGAATTACTCAATGGTATGTTGAGTGTGCAAGCATTAGTCATCGGTTTCGTAAGTAGCAGTATGTTCAACAAAAGCATGAGAGTCCAATTCACACGGACTTCAATTTTCTGGGCTATATAATATTATTGATACAGGGGATTTAAGAATTTTTAACAGAAAAGAGCTTTAAAAAATAAAAATATATATAAATAGACTCAGCCTCTATATTATTATTCAATTAGACCTATTTACTGTACCTGTACAGAATTTTTGTCTTTGAAGATCAAATTCTGACTTGTAATATTTTTTTATTTTAAAATTTGGTTTTTTGTTTTTATATAATAAAATAATTTTTATATATATTTTTATGTTTATATATTTATATACTATGAAATTTAATAAATATTTAGTTAATTTTAAATAATAAAATAAGTTTTATTATTTAATTTATATTTATATTTTTATATTATGTGAAATAATAAAGAATATTATGTTGATATATTTTATTGAATATGGAAATTTGTGTTATGGATTTTTAATATTAATATGATAATATTATTTTGAATAAGTATTTGATTCTAAAAACATAAAATTTGTATATAAGATAAATAAACATAATGAAGAATATTTTGTTTATATGTTTATTAAAATATATACTTAATTAATTTTTAAAATTATGGCTATAAATTTTGGATATAAAATTTGTTATTAATATTAATAAAATGAATAAAGAATATGATGTAGATATATATATATATATATATATATATATATATATAAAAGAAATCATAATTCATTAAATATTTAATAAAAAACAACACTTGACCCAATATTGATAACAACATTCATTAGTTATTTTCACTATCATTATCTCCGTAATAATGTCCAGTTCTACAACGAGGGTGACGTCTGTTACGTGCTGGGTTTTGTTGTTATGGTTGTTGCTGTGGAAATTCAGGATGAACTTGTGAAAGATTATCAAGGTCTTGTTGTTGGAATGCAGCTGAGGAACTACTAGGTTTATTAGCAAAATCCAGTTGGTAAAAAGACTGCATGTAACTCTGTACTGAAGATGGAGTTGTAAAATCAACTCCAAATAAGTTTGTAAAAAAATCTTCCAAAGTTGTTGCAAATGAATGTCTTCTTTCCATTATATTTGTATTTGATGTGATATCCGGTGGAGGAATTGATGTAGTCTCGTGATACGACAGTGTGAAAGTTGTATCGATCGCAAATGTTGTGGTAGTCCATAACTGTTAGTGGTTCCTCCTTGGATCTTGTAATAGTGGTGACACAGATAAAAAATAGATAGAATTGACAATGTACCACTCCATGTAATCTCGTGTGTGACACAATGGACCTGACATTGGATGACCCGTTAATGTCAGGTCACGTCTGTTGTTCCACACATTGATCCATTGAGCATGTCTTGTGATCCAATTTTTATCTTGTCTTCCTTTCATGTCAATTGTGTGGAGATCATCCAAATTATTAGGTGGAGAAGAGACTGCTTGTAAGAGCCGAAACTGTAATTTGACTCTATCTGATTGGTGCTATTCAACAATCGCAAAACAAAGGATGGCGGTACATGAAGTCTATATTTGGATATCTTTGTATGCTTCCATAGGCATTGATGTTTGCAACTCTTGATATGGCGCTCATAAGAACTACAAATAAATTTAACTTTATTAATTAAGATAATATGTAAAACAAAATAAAACAAGAAAAAATTTAAAATTTTAGTTATGAAGATTTACTTGATTAGCTTAATGTGGTCAAACATTGATCTGTACTTCACAACATCATTGTGAGGTCTATTCCGAAAGTTGAGGACTCTACCCCTGCTCCATCTGCACAGAAGAGGGTATGTTGATAGATTACTGGAAATTGACGCAATATATGGCATCTGATAACATGCCCAAGACATTAATAGTGATGCACAACTACCCATATTTTTACTCTCGACATCTGTAGCCCTGTACATTTCCCTGTACAATCTAGCTAAACAAGCAGACCCCCAACTATATCTTCTAATTCTTCTAAGATTAGTTAATAAAGCTAAATACATAAGATGAATTTTGTTGCCTGTTTTGTCAGGCATCAAAACACCTCCAATCAAAACCAATATATATGCTCTAACATGGGCGTGAACTTGCTATTCAGATGGTTCATCTGATAATGGCAACATGTTGTTTCTTAGCCACTTCAGTTTCACCATAGAGCCAATAAGTGTTTCTACCTTGACTAGCACACTGTCGAGATATGTGTCACACACATCCTCCCAGCCAAACATTGTTGGACAAATGACTGGTAATCTATCAACTCTTAGCCCGAGTTGAAGTGCAAGTGCACTCTCTAGTTGAAAAATGGAATGTGTGAGTTTCAGGTCTCCATCTCTCGATCAAAGCTATCATCAGTGCTTGATCCACTTTAAGATGCCTTAGCTTTGCCAGCAAAATCAAGTTGTTCAAGAATAAAAACAATTACGAGGTTGGGTTCTGGCATTGAATGACAGAAAGATGAGATCATGTTTTTAATTTCTTGCAGTTATTAACAAATTAGTGAGTAACATTATACGTAAAAATTGATTTATATTTTAAATAAATAACGATGATGTTTCAAACTTACCGTTCTACCAATGAAGGCAAACCTGTGTTCATTTTGCTTCGACAATAACATTTTTGTGATTGATGAGTGAGTCATTACTTAGGA